CCGCCCCCCGTCGTCGTCGGCATCGCCAGGGACGGCTGCATGGTTTTTTTTGTTTGCGGGCGTGCTCGCGAGTCGCAGCAGGAGGCAGGCTCGAAGCACTGGAGGGGTCTCGGCCGCCTTCACAACAGGCGAGCCAGGGCCCGAGCCAGGCAAGGTTTTGACCAGGAGGGAGGTTTGGCCCACAGGCCATTCCATCCCCATGCGTACACGCCGGTCGTTGAAAGTAGGTATTTTTGGATTCCCAGATCCCAATCTACTTCAAGCGCCTTCCTACTTCAAGAATCGGCACGCTTTTGCTGTGTTTTGTTATTCCCTGGGGGGGCCTGGACCCAACCAACTTAATCCGCCTTCCTCCTTCATGTTTTTACCCACTTCTTCCGACCGGCGTGTCATTTCATCCTGGGCCCCGTGCAGACGGGGCCCGGCCAAGCCAGAACCCAGCTCCGCCGTGGCCCAGCTGGGCCAGGCCCCGGTGCATCCAGGGGCCAGCTGCTGGGGCCCAGTTGCCGCTCCGAGCGCCGAGGCCGGACGCCCCGGGGGCCCAGTGCAGCGGGGCCCCGTTCATCCAGGGCCCAGCTCAACTCAGGTTGACCCCAAAGGGGGTCCAGCGATGAGGGGGTGGTGCAATAGATTTGGTGCAATAGGTGTGTGCGGGTTGCAATACATTTGGGGCGTGCAATACATGCCGGGTCGCAGATGTACTGCTGGATTTTCGCGTGCAATGCGCTACTTGCAATACAATGCAAGGATCCTCTGGCGCAGTACATTTGCAATACATGTGCCCCAAATCTATTGCACCACCCCCTTTCAGCTGGACCCCCTTTTGGGTCACCCAGATCAGCGGCACCCAGTTCGACCGCGGCCCACTTCAATTGGGCCCAGGTCAACTGGGGGCCAGGTGCCGGGGCCCAGCTCCACCGGGGCCCAGTTCAGCTTTGGCCCTGCGCGGCCTCTTCCCCTGGGGGTCTCTTGGGAACCTCAGAGGTCCCTCTTGCGGTCTCTTGGGAGCCTTCTTGTTGGGGCACCTTGGGGGCCAATTGGGGGCCTCTCGAGGCCTCCTGGGCACCTCCTGGGGCTCTCTTGCATGGGGCACACTCGGGGGCCATGTTGGGGCCAACTTGGGACCATCTCGGAGGAGATCAGCCAACAAAAAGGGGGGCTCCTTAATATGCGCTGGCCCCCCCCCCCCCCCGCCACCACCACCACCACCACCACCACCCGTCCCCAGCCTGCCAAAGCGTGGACCAAGCCCGAATCTCATGAATGATGTTGGGGCCTCCCCGCCGAGGCCGTTTTGGACTCTCCGGCCCCTGGCGAACCGTCCCCGTCCAGGTCCAGGGGTAAGGGGTTCGGGGGAGGGATCAAGCCATTTATCCCCTCCCGCAAGCTGTCTCGCTCACTGCCTCCCGCCCTCCCATCACATAAGCAACACCCGGGCCTCGGCATGTTCAGCGGTCGTCTATGGATGGGGAGTCATTGGGGACCAATACAGACCCCATGTGCGCGATGGGGCGAGGTGCGCCACGCGTGCCAACGGCTCCAGGTGCGCCAGGCGCGCCTGAAGCGTTCCAGGCACGCCTCGCGCGCCAGATGCGCTACGTGCTCCACTCCCAGCGGCGCCAGGTGCGCCACGTCCGGGGTGCGCGCAGAGTGTGCCAGGTGCGCCTGCGCACGTGATAGTACTGTCGGCCCCCTCCATCCTTGTCAAAAGCCAGTGTACAATAGCGGCGGGGAGGCCATCATGGTGTCTGATGGGCCTGCATAAAGCAGGTAATGTGCCATCACCCCCGCGGTCCTTTTCAAATACTCATGGACAATGATCACGGGATGGCCGAGCACAATCCAAGTTTGGCTGCGAAGTGCATGTTTTATTGTTTTGATAGGCGTGGTGACCTCGCGCAAAGCAGGCAACATGAGGGCACCCACGCCGTCGTGGTCAACAAAACAATACAAAGTGCTCGCGGGGCCAACGAACATGACCAAAGATTTTGCCCACAAATGTGCTTAGCATTGTATTTTGTCAGGGATGTGTGTGTGTGTGTGTGTGTGTGTGTATGTGTGTGTGTGTGTGTTGGCATCGGTCCTGGTTGGCTGTAGGTCGCCTGGGGGAGGGGGTGTTTCTCAATAGGGAGCACTGACACACCCTTCGTCGAAGGGGAAGGAGTGGGTTGGAAGAAGACACGCTCTAAACCGCTCAAGCCCTACAGGTCGGATGGGATTCTCCCAAGAAGGCTGAAGGAGGCAAGCATCAGCCCTCCGATTTTCCGCGCATGATGATGCATGCGCTCAGTTTGCTGAGGCGGTGGTGCTGCGTGACACGGGTATGTTTGGCCCCTTGGGACTTTGCAAACCCAGGAGCGGCTTCGCGTGCTGAGCGCTCGAGGCCAAGATGCTTACGGAACTACTTCCGATTTTCCGCACCTGGGCCTTCCGACTCAAGGCAGCCGTCCCGTTTTGGGCAGCCGCCCCTGATTCAGGGGCGGCTGCCCAGGCCGGGCCGCCGCCCTCGCCGCCCTGTTTTCGTGAGCCTTCGCTGGCGAGCGCCAGCCAGGCCGCTGCTCGCGGCTCTCTGCCACTGTGCTGTCGGGGGCCCCCAAACTCAGAGGAGGAAAAGGTACCCATACCGCAACCCTTGCCTCGTTTTCTCCTGTTTTGGTCTCGTGGGAGGCCCTCGTTGCCATGGCTGGATTCGCCTCGCACTCCAGGTCAGACCGCACCGTGGCGGTACCGTGTTGTTTCCCCAAGACTGAAGGCAAGACGTGAATCCATATCCACTGCATCTTGGAGTTTCGGATTTCCTTCCCCAGACACCCGATGCGCAGTGGATATGGATCAGAGTCTAGCCCCTGGAGGCTAGATTTCCATCCATATCCACTGCGCCTCAGCTTTTTGGCGCCCCTTCCCGAAAGTTCAAGATGCAGTGGGTATGCTAGATGCAAATTTTGCCCGCGCAAGCGGTATGGTGACCGCAACGCGCGGTGAGTCGGTGGGGACTGGGGTCACCGCACGGTTTTGAGACTCGGGTCGTTCTCCGAGGACGTCTCGGGCGACAGGGGACTCCAGGGTCCCAAAACCGTGCGGTGACGGACGGAACGCGCGGTGAGGTCGGTGGGGATTTTGAGGTCACCACGCGGACCGGATCGCGCCGCATCACCGATGCACTGCCGATGCTGCTCGATGTTAAGCCCGATCTTCTCAACGTCGACGTCCCCCATGCATTGCCGATGCCGATGATGAGTCGCCGATGCAACTGCGATGCAGCGCGATCTTTCGACCTCATCTAGTCTCTGTAATTGATAACGAACAAATTGCCCTGTTCGTGTCATGTTGTAGGCTCTCAGACCTGCACGATGACATGTCTGGGAGCCTTTCTTTTTCCCTATCCTCACTGTTATCACCATCGTCGCACCGTCATCCGTCATCCGTCATCACCGTCATCATCGTCGTCATCGCGATCCTCATCCCCACCGTCATCACGAGATTTGCCCATCAACGTCGTCATCGTTATCATCATTGCAATCAACTTCGTTCGCGTTATCATCATTACCTCACCGTCATCATCGCCCATCGAAGTGATCACAATCACCCATCATCAACATCATCACCATCGTCATCGTCATCGTCATCGTCATCGTCATCGTCATCATCGTCTTCTTCATCATCATCTTCATCATCATCATCATCAGCATCATCATCACCACCACCATCATCATCATCATCACCACTGGCCACGTATTGTTCAAACGAAAGCGCTGCCCCGCGCGCTCCCGAGCAACCGCTGCCTTGCGCGTTCGCGAGCATGGCCTCCAGCGGACCGCGCGCCCCCTGCCCGGCTTCCAGCCAAGACCTCCCTCCTTTGCCAGGCTTCCAGCCAAGACACCCATCCCTTAGCCATAGACGTCGGTGGAAGTGTTAATGGTGTCCCCGCCGGCGTAGGCTCGACTCGCCCGAGTCTCGATTCGTCCGGCTCGCTTCGCCCAGGCTTGATTCGCCGGCCTCGATTCGCCCAGCTCGCTTCCCCCAGGTCCAGTTCGCCCGAGCTTCGATTCGCCCGACCCCGCGCGCCCGACCCGACTCGCCCTTCAGAATCCACCCGCCCGACCCGACTAGCCCGTTAGGGTCCGCCCGCCCGGTTCGCCCCGCCCGTCAGGGTAATTAGATGAGTCCCATACTTTACAGTGTCCCGCCCGCCCGACCCGACCTGCCCGTTAGGGCCCGCCCGCCCGCCCGACCCGACCCGCCCGTGAGGGTGCCCCCGCTTGCTCCCCCTGCCCCTCTTCTGGAACCTCCGCGTGCTCGGCACAATGCGCCCCAGCGAAACGAGCCGCGGCGAAGCGAGACCCGGCGAAACGAGACCCGGCAAACCGAGTCGGACGAACCGAGCCGGATGGACATCTGGCGAATTGGGATGGGCGGATCGAGTCGAATGAGCCAGGCCTTGGCAAAGCAAGCCCTGGCGAACCCAGCCGCGGTGAACGAAACCCCGGCGAACCGAGCCCCGGCGAACCGAGATTCTGGCGAACCGAGTCCGTGCACCCCCGACGTGGTGGCCGTGCTGTAACAATACCGCGCTGTGTGGAGTGGCTTGGACGATCCACTGGGAGAGGGGCTCGCGCTATCTCCCGCCAGAGGGCGAAGAGTTTCGTCGTCGTGCCCTGCGCGCTGTGGCGCGCGGGGGCGCGGAGTGATCCCCGTTCCAGCGTGCTTCTTGGTCGTTCTATGCGGAACACCGTTGGCGCAAGGTGGCGCGAACTTCCCGTGGGGAGAGGACTGAGGACCAAAGGTCGATCGATCTTGACCAGTAGGCGTGGTGACGGCACTCTGCAATTACTCAGAGCATCCTTCCGGGGGACATGATCATCGCTCTGTCGCCCTATGCGGCCTTGAGGAGGTTCTCTGTGAAACGGCCGTATGCTCACGTCGTCGAAACCGAATTGGCTTGGAACTTCGAGGACCTATTTCGGAGTTGAACAAATCCTTTTCCGCCAGCGAGGTGCTCCTCAAGTAAAAGGAGGGTGATTCCCCAGCGCTGCATCACCGTCGTCGACAGCGCGACTGGATACCAATTTGATCGCTGCTCGATAGTTAATTGCTTCGCTCATTCCGCTGGCCCGTTCTGTATCATCGCAGGCGTTTGCCTGCGCGTTCGTGGCCTCTTGGGCCCTCTATTGGGCCGCTTGGGGGCCCTCTTGAAATTTCCTTTGGGCTTCTTGGAGGCCTCGTGGTGCCTCCAGGGGGCGCCCTGGATTTTCTTAGGGGCCTCATGGGGCCTCCTGGAGGCTTCTTGGGGCGGGAGGCCTGAATTCGTGGTTCGTGTTCCTCCGTGGGCCCCCCTTGGGGCCGTCTTGGGGCGGGGGCCGTTTTTGGGTCCTCTTGGACCGTCTTGGGGCACTTCTTGGGGCCTCTTGGGCCTTGGGGCCCTGCCGGGGGCCTCTGGGGCCATCTTGGAACGTCGGGGGCCCGAGTGCGAGAAAACGCGAGAAATATAGAACGACTAAGAAAACTATGGATTTGTATATATTTTGGCCCTCTGGGCTCCTCTTGGAGCGCTCTTGGGGCCCCTGAGGGGCCCTTCTTGGCCGTCTTGGGGCCATCTTGGGCGTCCTTGAGCGATCCTATCGTGTCCCGGCGGCCGTGGGGACTGCGTGGAGGGCGTCTTGGGGGCCTTTGGGCCGTTCTTCAAGCTCCTGGGGGGTCCTTGGGGCGGCGCCCAGGAGCAGAGCCATTTCGGATCGGACCTTGCAGGGGTCCTGCCTGGGGCACTTTTCGGCCGCGGGCCCCAGGGGTCGCCCCGCGCGCGCGCGAACTAGACATGTTGTTTACCAGGTGCCAGAGATTTTAGCGCGCCTCTGGCTTGTGGGGCCGGCGAATTTCGACGACGTCGCGCCGCGCGTGCTGGTCGGGGGGGCTGCGTGGTCGGCAGCCGCTCGCGCGGCCTGTGCTGCCGTGGAGCTCTTCCCCACGTGCTCTCGGCAGCAGGTGCCTGGCCCTCGTTCGGGCGTGCAGCCGACGCCCGTCATGGCGCTGCCGCCGCCGCTGCTGTCGCTGGCGGGTGCCGCCGCGCCGCCGCCGCAGCGGCGGCTGCCGCTGACGGCCGTCGCCTGCGGTGCCGCCGCGGCTCGCGGCCCGCCCGCGCGGCCGCCGCGCTCGATGTGGTGGAGGAGGCAGCGTAGAAGGCGCTCCTCCTCCCTTCCCTCGCTTCCTCCTTGTCATCCTCTTCATTTTCATGTTTCCCTTCTCTCCCATCCCCCCGGCGGACTCATCGTCTCCTGCTCCTCGAGCTCTTCCTGTCTGTTCTCGCCCTGCGGCTGCCTTTTTCGCTCTCTGCGCAGGTGGGGGCTGCGGTTGCCGCCGCAGCGCGTGGCCTGGATCGCGCCGAGCGGGCCGCTGAAGATGACCCAGACGGGCGGCCGAGCGCCGCCTCGGGCTCAGGGGGCCTGGCCGCGCCTCCGCCGCGTGCGCCGCCGAGTGCTTGCGCTCCATCTTTTCTTGACTCTTGACGACCTGATTCCAAAGAGGTGGTCTACGGCCCCCGACGAAGAGGCGGCGGCTCCCGACGAAGAGACGATGGTTCGCCGCGCTCTCCGGCGTGCCCCGGGGGCGCTGTCGCGCGTGCCCGCTTGCGCGCGGGGCTCGTGGTCGCGCCCCGAGAGCGCTCCCGCGCGTGCCCGCCCGCGCTCGGGGCATTCGGGCGCGCCCTAAGGGCGCCTTCGCGCGCGTGCGCTCGCCCCGAGGGTGCGCTCGCCCCGAGGGCGCGTGCGCTCGCCCCGAGTGCGCGCGTCGCCGCTCTCTGGCGCGCCCCGAGGGCGCGCCCGTTCGTGTCTGCTCGGTCGCGGCGCTGTCTGGCGCGCCCCGAGGGCGCCCCCGCGCGCGCCCGCCTCTGCGCGGCGCCGTCTTGTGCGCCCCGAGGCCAGCTTCTGATTCGCATTGGCCCGGGGCTGGGAGATGCCGGGAGGGCGGCGGTCTCCGCCCCCCAGACCCGCGCACTTCCGGTCGACCCCTGACGGCCCCCATGGCCGCGCGAGACCCCGCGGATGCTGAGCGAGCTTGGCGAGTCAGGGGGATGCGCGGGCAGATAGAGCAAGATCCACGCGCGAGTCCTCTGGGTGCTAAGACGAGGCGCTGCCGGCGAAGATGCAAAGCGCCGCGCGCCGCGATCTGGAGCGGCGGGATTCCCGGGGGGATCTGCTGGGGGCGTCGCGCATTGACGAGCAAGGGGCTGACCGGGAGAGACGTCGCGAACCCGTTCGAGGGGCGGGCGCCCCCGCGATGCCCCCCCGCGGAGCCGTCATGGCCGCGCGGGGCAATGCGCGATAGAGGTTTGCCATCGGGGGGGCCAGGAAGCCGATGCCGCGGGAACCCGCCGTGCTCGAGTCTCCCCAGACGCCGCCCTCTGTTCCAGTCCTCGTGCGGGTCAGCGACGCGGTGTTTCTGGCGGCGCGGTTCCTGTGAGTCGCCCTTCGTATTTTTTCGTTTGTTGCCCATCGTTCGGCGTTCGCCGCCGGCAATTTGCCGGTGCGCGCCGTCAATCGTTGCCGACGCCACTTGGTTGCCGTTCGTCGTCGTCGATTGCCGTCGTGCTGCGAGACGTCCAGGGGCAGGGGAGATGCGACGCGTGTCGCCTTCATGTGAATGGGCTGCGCCGCGCGTCTGTCGTCGGTTGTCTGCGTCGTTCGTTGTTCGTTGGTCGTTCTTTGTTGCCTGCCTTTCGCCGCGTTCGTCGTCGTCGCTCGCTGTCGCCAGTCGTCGTTCGTGGGCGACGCTCCTCGGACGTCGTTCGTCGTTCGTTGATCCTCTCTCTCTCTCTCTTTTCCTCTCTCTCTCTCTCGCTCCCTTTCTGTTTCTTTATTTCTTGCTTTCTCTCTCTCTCTCTCTCTCTCTCTTTTTCTCCCTCTCTCTCTCTCTCTCTCTTCCTTCGCCGCTCTCTCTCTCTCTCTCTTTCTTTTTTTCTTTCTTTCTTTCTTTCTCTCTCTCTCTCTCTCTCTCCCATTTTTTCCCAACCATCCTGTGGTGTTGGGTCCTCGTTTTGAAGAGACAGCGCCCCGCGTTCACTCCTCCCGCTGCCCGCGCCCGCATGCGTCACCCACACCCATTTCGGCACACCCCTCACACGTTTCGTGGCTCCATAGGGAGCTCCACCGAAGGCCCCAGTGCCCGCGCCCGCATGCGTCACCCACACCCATTTCGGCACACCCCTCACACGTTTCGTGGCTCCATAGGGAGCTCCACCGAAGGCCCCAGTGCCCGCGCCCGCATGCGTCACCCACACCCATTTCGGCACACCCCTCACACGTTTCGTGGCTCCATAGGGAGCTCCACCGAAGGCCCCAGTGCCCGCGCCCGCATGCGTCACCCACACCCATTTCGGCACACCCCTCACACGTTTCGTGGCTCCATAGGGAGCTCCACCGAAGGCCCCAGTGCCCGCGCCCGCATGCGTCACCCACACCCATTTCGGCACACCCCTCACACGTTTCGTGGCTCCATAGGGAGCTCCACCGAAGGCCCCAGTGCCCGCGCCCGCATGCGTCACCCACACCCATTTCGGCACACCCCTCACACGTTTCGTGGCTCCATAGGGAGCTCCACCGAAGGCCCCAGTGCCCGCGCCCGCATGCGTCACCCACACCCATTTCGGCACACCCCTCACACGTTTCGTGGCTCCATAGGGAGCTCCGCCGAAGGCCCCAGTGCCCGCGCCCGCATGTCACCCAACCCACTTCGGCACACCCCTCACACGCACTCCACCGAAGGCCCCAGTTTGCGGGCACACCCCTCACACGTTTCGTGGCTCCATAGGGAGCTCCACCGAAGGCCCCAGTGCCCGCGCCCGCATGCGTCACCACACCCATTTCGGCACACCCCTCACACGTTTCGTGGCTCCATAGGGAGCTCCGCCGAAGGCCCCAGTGCTGCCGCCCGCATGCGTCCCCACACCCATTCGGCACACCCCTCACACGTTTCGTGGCCCCATAGGAGCTCCACCGAAGGCCCCAGTGCTGCCGCCCCGCATGCGTCACCCACACCCAATTCGGCACACCCCTCACACGTTCGTGGCCCCATAGGAACTCCACCGAAGGCCCCAGTGCTGCCGCCCGCATGCGTCACCCACATTTCGGCACCCCTCACACGTTTCGTGGCCCCATTCCGCCGAAGGCCCAGTGCATGCGTCACGTTTCACACGTTTCGTGGCCCCATAGGAGCTCCGCCGAAGGCCCCAGTGCTGCCGCCTGCATGCGTCACCCACACCCATTTCGGCACACCCCTCACACGTTTCGTGGCCCCATAGTAGAAGCTCCGCCGAAGGCCCCAGTGCTGCCGCCCGCATGCGTCACCCACGCCCATTTCGGCACACCCCTCACACGTTTCGTGGCTCCATAGGGAGCTCAACCGAAGGCCCCAGTGCCCGCGCCCATGGTCACCCACGCCCATTTCGGCCACCCCTCACGCGTTCCGTGGCTCCATAGGGAGCTCCACCGAAGGCCCCAGTGCCCGCGCCCGCATGCGTCACCCCACGCCATTTCGGCACACCCCCACACGTTTTCGTGGCCCATAGGGAGCTCCACCGAAGGCCCCAGTGCCCGCGCCCGCATGCGTCAGCCACACCCATTTCGGCACGCCCCTCACGCGTTGCGTGGCCCCATAGGGAGCTCCGCCGAAGGTCCCAGTGGGTGTGCCCGCATGCGTCCGCACACCCATTTCGGCACACCCCTCACACGTTTCGTGGCCCCATAGGGAGCTCCACCGAAGGCCCCAGTGGGTGTGCCCCCATGCGTCCCGCACACCCATATCGGCACACCCCTCGTACGTTTCGTGGCCCCGTAGGGGGCTCCACCGAGAAGATATTCACAATTGCAGTATTCACAATTGCATATGGTTGGGTCCTTCGCCAGGATATATATATATATATATATATATATATATATATATATCTCTCGTTCTCTCTCTTTCGCTTTCGTTTTTCCCAAGCATCCTGTGGTGTTGGGTCCTCGTTTTGAAGAGACAGCGCCCCGCGCTCCTTCCTCCGCCCGCTTCTCCCTCCCCCTCCTCCCTCCCCCCGTTCATTGCCTCTGCTCTCGGCACGCCCCTCACACGTTTCGTAACCTCATAGGGAGGTCCACCGAAGGTCCCAGTGGGGGTGCCCGCATGCTTCGCCCACGCCCAGCACAGCGTTTCGTGGCCCCATAGGGAGCTCCACCGAAGGCCCCAGTGGGGGTGCCCGCATGCGTCCCCCGCGCCCGGGACAGCGTTTCGTGGCCCCATCGGGAGTTTCACTGAAGGCCCCAGTGGGGGTGCCCGCATGCGCCCCCCACGCCCAGGACAATGTTTTGTAGCCCGATAGGGAGCTCCACCGAAGGCCCCAGTGGGGGTGCCCGCATGCGCCCCCCACGCCCAGGACAGCGCTTCGTGGCTCCATGAGGGGCTCCACCGAAGGCCCCAGTGGGGGTGCCCGCATGCGCCCCCCCACGCCGAGGACAGCGTTTCGTGGCCCCGTAGGAAGTTCCACCGAAGGCCCCAGTGGGGGTGCCCGCATGTGTCCCCCCACGCCCAGGACAGCGCTTCGTGGCCCCATAGGGGGCTCCACCGAAGGAACCAGTGGGGGTGCCCGCATGCGTCCCCCACGCCCAGGACAGCGTTTCGTGGCCCCATAGGGAGCTCCACCGAAGGCCCCAGTGGGAGGGGCCGCATGCGTCCCCCACGCCCAGGACAGCGTTTCGTGGCCCCATAGGGAGCTCCACCGAAGGCCCCAGTGGGGGGGGGGCGCATGCGTCTCCGCCACCCAGGACAGCGTTTGGTAGTCCCATAGGGGGCCCCACCGAAGTCCCAGTGGCACAGTTCGCATGCGTCTCCCTCACCCAGGACAGCGTTTCTTGGCCCATAGAGAGTACCACCGAATGCGATACTCACGACGACGGTATTCACAACTGCATATGGTTGGGTCATTCGCCAGGTTTTTTTTTGTTTTCTCTCTCTCTCTCTCTCTCCTCCGCTCTCTGTCTCTCTATCTCTGTGTATATGTGTATTATCTCGGTATATCTCTATGTACATTATATATATATAATATATATAGATAGATATATATATATACATGTTCCCTCCCTCGCTCTCTCCTCTCCTCTCTCTCTCTCTTTCTATTTTTCTCACTATTTTTCTCTATCTCTCGCTCTTTTTATTTCTCCGCTCTCTCTCTCACTCTCTTTTATTTCTCCTCTCTTCATACATATATATAATTATCCTCCCGTCTCTCTCTCTCTCTCCCTCTTTCTCTCTCTCTCTCTCTTTTTTTGTTCTCTCTCTCTCTCTCCCTCCCTCTCTCTCTCTCTCTCTTTCCCGCTCTCTCTTTCTCTCTCTCTCTCTCTTTCTCTTTCTCTTTCTTTTTCACTCTCTCATGTTTCCCTCTCCCCCCAGGTCGCCCCCCTCGCTCGCCAAGTCCGCGCCCCCGCTTTCAAGCGAGGCCTGCTCGTGCAGCGCCTCCCCCGCGCCGCGACGCCTGTGCGTCTCGCTCGGCCCGCCGGCCGCCGGGCGGGGGCGGCGCCCCCCCCCCCCCCCCCCCCGCGTGGCGCGACCTGCTGGAGGCCGTGCAAGTCCGCAGTGGGCCTCCCACCTGGCCGCGCGGCCCCCCCCCTCGCGCCGGCCCGATTCACCGCGAGGCCGTGCGCCATCGCTGCCTGATTGCGGCGGCGGGG